GTGTGTGTGTGTGTGTGTGTGTGTGTGTGTGTGTGTGTGTGTATATATATATGCTTCATGGGTTTTTTTCTCTAGAGAACCCAGCCTAAGACATCCCCCATTATTTTTTTTATTTCTGTAAGATTGGTAATAGTATCCCTCTTTTTATGCCTTATTTTAGTAATTTGAGTCTTCTCTAGAAATGAGACTTTGAAGGAGCTCCAGTCCCATTCTGGCCTATCAGGTGGCTCTCAGGCTGCTGGTTTTCACCATGATTGTGGGTTGTTGGTTTTCAAGGCTATTGCAGAGCTGGAGAGAGTGATGGGAATAAGGCAAGTTAAGCCAGCTCCAAAAAAGTTGGCTGTTCTTACAGAGATTGACCTTTTTCTTTTTGAAAAAATGCTCCCCAGATTGTTGCTAGCTTTTGGTTAATTTCCAGAGTTCTGAAAAAATTGATTCTAATAATTTTTGCCAGTTTTCTCGTTGCTTTTGTGGAATTTTCAGAGGCCCTCATTCCACCGTTTTTGCTGAAATCACCCCTTTCTTCCCTTCTTCACCTATGAAGCTGCTGCCCTTTTGTTAGGTCTCAGTCCTGTTGCTACTTCCACAAGCAAACATGCTGGTTATTCTCCATTTGTTCTATTCTATTCTCTGCCCAGCTCTGTGCCCCAGGAGGCCAACATCCATGGACTGCATCACCTAGGCTCCCTTGCCCTCTGGTTTTGGCTTGGTTTAGCTAGTGGGAGGCAGGGAATGGCAGGATATTGGAAGGTGGGAGAAGAGAGACGATGGGGTATTTATTTATGGCATACCCTTCCTTTTTTGGCAGTGGCTGCATTTTTTTGACCTACAGTTGCAGCTCCTGTTGGAAAGCTCCTCTCCCATGCCTACAGCTCTCTCTGGGTTCCAGTAACACAGCTGCCTGCTGTTGCCTCTTCAGACTTAGGAGTGCTAACAGCTTCCCATTTTTGCTAGTCCCTAGGTGCTTTGCTATCCCTGTTTGTTTCCTTAACTCTGTCCACAATTCTTAAATAGTCCTTTCGTTAACTCTTTTATGTTACCTCGTGAGTGGGCTATTTACTGCCAGGACCTTGACTGATTCAACATGTTTCATGACTTCCCTGCTAAAGTTCCCATAACATACTTATATGCTCCTCTCCTTTGAAGAACTTACCAAAATCCTAACTATCTACTAATTTTAACAGTCATTTGATTAATATATTTTATCAACTAGACTGTAACCTCAATGAGAGCAGGGACTATGTCTGTTTTGGCTCATCCATGCATCTTGGGAACTAGCAGGGTGCCTGGCATGTAGTAGGCACTTAAAACATTTTTATTGAATAAATAAACAGCTAATATTTTGTCTCACTCAATTCTTCTGAAAGTTTGAGGGGACAACAGGTAGGAAGGGGTTTAAGAATGGAATCTTTCCACAGGTGTACAAAGCCACAGGGTGGTATTTTGTGAAGATAACATGGGAGTGTGGGGATACTGAAAACCTGGACTATGCCACCCACCACTATGTCATTTTGGGTCAGGAACTTCTTTGGGCCTCAATTTTCTCATATGCAAAATGAAGAATTTGGGATAGTGTTCTAAGGCCCCGAGGACAATTAAGAAGACCTGATTCCAGAATTGAAACCTGTCGCAGAAGCCAGTGAACAGATTGCCCTTTTCAGTTAATCATCCTTCTTCAAGCCATGGTCCACAGCACCCTCTGTGGTCATCTGCAGCCCCAAAGCAAGACTCAACTACAGGACGGTGGAGCTGGAAGCCCCATCCAAAATCTTGTCATTGTACTGCAGAAACTGAGGTCTGGTGGAGGGGGTGGGGGCAGGATTTGCAGAAGGTCGCACTGAATTTGTTGCAGAGCTGGGCCAGGCAATGCTGTTTCTACCACATGGTATTTATGTTGTCAGGTGCCGTGGAGTCGGTTCCGATTCATAGTGACCCTGTGTAGTACAGAACAAAACACTGCCTGGTCCTGTGCCAGCCTCACAATCCTTGCTACGTTTGAGCCTGTTGTTGCAGCCACTGTGTCATTCCATCCATAGAGGATCTTCCTCTTTTTCGCTGACCCTCTACTTTACCAAGCATGATGTCCTTCCCCAGGTACTGGTTCTTCCTGATAACACATCCAAAGTATGTGAGACATAAGTCTCACCATCCTTGCTTCTAAGGAGCATTCTGGCTGTACTTCTAAGACAGATTTGTTTGTTCTTCTGGCAGTTCACGGCATATTCAATATTCTTCGCCAACACCATAATTCAAACCCATCAATTCTTCTTCGGTCTTCCTTATTCATTGTCCAGCTTTTTTGCCTGCACATGAAGTGACTGAAAATACCACGGCTTGGGGCGGGTGCACCTTGGTCCTCAAAGTGATATCTTTGCTTTTGAACACTTTAAAGAGATCTTTTGCAACAGATTTGCCCAATGCAATACATCGTTTGATTTCTTGACTGCTGCTTCCATGGGTGTTGATTGTGGATCCAAGTAAAATGAAATCCTTGACAACTTCAATATTTTCTGTTTATCATGATGTTGCTTATTGGTCCAGTTGTGAGGATTTTTGGTTTCTTTACACTGAGGTGTAATCCATACTGAAGGCTGTAGTCTTTGATCTTCATCAGTAACTGCTTCAAGTCCTCTTTGCTTTCGGCAACCAAGGTTGTGTCATCTGCATACCGCAGGTTGTTAATGAGTCTTCCTCCAGTATGATTCCCCATTCTTCTTCATATAGTCCAGCTTCTCTGATTATTTGCTCAGCATACGGATTGAATAAATATGTCGAAAGGATACAACCCTGACACACACCTTTCCTGATTTTAAACCATGCAGTATCCCCTTGTTCTGTTCGAACGACTGCCTCTTGGTCTATGTACAGGTTCCTCATGAGCACAATTAAGTGTTCTGGAATTCCCATTCTTTCCAATGTTATCCAAAATTTCTATGATCCACACAGTCAAATGCCTTTGCATAGTCAATAACAACACAGGTAAACATCTTTCTGGTACCCTCTGCTTTCAGCCAAGATCCATCTGACATCAGCAATGATATCCCTGGTTCCACATTCTCTTCTGAATCTGGCTTGAACTTCTGGCATTTCTCTGTCACTGTATTACTGCAAACATTTTTGAATGATCTTCAGTAAAATTATTACTTGTGTGTGATATTAACGGTATTGTTCGATACTTTCTGCATTCTGTTGGATCACCTTTCTTTGGATGGGCACAAACATGGATCTCTTCCAGTCAGTTGGCCTGGTAGCTCTCTTCCAAATTTCTTGGCATAGACAAGTAAGCACTTCCAGCATTACATCTGTTTGTTGAAAACATCTAATCTGGTATTCCACTAATTCCTGCAGCCTTGTTTTTCACCAATTCCTTCAGTGTAGCTTGGACTTCTTCAGTACTATCAGTTCTTGATCATACGTTACCTCTTGAAATGGTTGAACGTTCACCAATTCTTTTTGCTACAGTGACTCTGTGTATTTCTTCCATCAGCTTTTGATGCTTCCTGCATTGCTGGGCCAACCAGTGCTGTTTCCACCACATAGTATTAGTCAAACCTAATACCCAACAGCATCAAATGTTTTGGTAAGCAAGGACTTGTGGCTGATGGGGTGAGCATTAGGAATGAGTTAAGCTTATTTCATATTGTCACTGTCCTTTTTAAAGCCTCTATTCTTGAGTACTGAGTGTAAGGCCCTTCGTGAGCTGCCCTGCCTACCTCTTTGAGCTCACCTCCTTCAGTTCTTCCAACACTAGTCCTCCAACAGTTCTGCCTGGAACACGCTTACCCCAGATCGCCTCTTGTCTCACTCCCTCATGTCTTTTTACCATCCTCCCTAATGTTGACCCTACCTCAGTCTCTAAAATATCACTTGCTTTACATTCTTTATAGCCCGATTACCATCTGAACTCAGCTTGGTTAGTTGTTTTAGATCTGCCTCCCCCTCTAGAATGATTGCTCTTGGTACGGAGTAGGCGTTCAATAAGTATTTTGGGGGAATGACAGAAAGATGGCGCATGACAAGGAGCAAGCCAGAGACCACTTTACAGAAAGTCTGGAGGTTTATTCAACAAAAATCACAATTGTACATTGTCAGTCAGCCTTCACAAAGGTTCACTTTTCCAGGCAGGAGATGTTCGTGGCCTTGAGTTTTCTCTATGGAATCCAGTCTGGCTTCCCAAATATTCCCCGCCTGCAACCCCTTGGGATTCCTGTCTTCAAGCCAATTAACAGAGCAGAAGCCCAATTCTGCTGTCTGGAGCAGGTGAAGTAAAGCCATTTTGGGAGCAGAGATTAAGAGGACCTTGTCACTTAGAAGGTAGATCCAACCCCTGCCCCAGAGGTGGCAGTGGCCTTGGCTCAAGGTCATATTCGAACTGAAATATTACTTGGGTATTCACAGAGCATCACTGAAAGCAGAAAAGAATTCCAGAACAGAACTGCACTCCCTGCCCCTCTCTCATACTTGGAAATCTTCGGAAAACATTAAAAATGCACGGCCTCCTAGGAATTATAAAAGATCACCCAACCTTTACAAACAAACTAGGTATCATTGAAGCAAGGACTCCAGTTATCAGTTACAACTGTAAAGTGCTTTGCCACGTTAGCTTTGAGACTCTAGAGACTAGGGAAATAGAGATGCCCAGAAAGAAACACGGAGCCATTTAGATCACCTATTTCTCAAGTGGAAAAAACAACTCAACTAGGAGGCTTGAAAAATGAATGTAATGTGCACTTTGGGGCTGTGCATGCTACAACTTTAACAAAGACTGCTCCTTCTCCCCTAGATCTAACGTTGTGTTCTGTCAGATCCCTTCTGCTGAGGTAACCTCCTCTGCCTCTGAGCTATTTCCTCCTAAAGGGGAGAATCGACAGTTTCCAGACCGTTTTCAAAGTTGAAAAGGACCATACAGCACAAGCTCCACTGGAAGCACGAGGTGGAGAGGCTTTTCACAAATGTGCCTGTAAATGGAGTCACCTTAAAGGCCTTGTCCTTACTTCAGAGATGCTGTTTGCATTCAGAAATGTTTCTGGAGTCCCCCTTTGGAAAGGCTGCTTGTGGGTAGCACGGTCAGGTACTTTCTAGCCATGACCTGTTTTGGAACCTCATCTTCAGAATAACAGCTTTAGAGGAATGGGGGCCTGACTCTTACCCACTGGCCACCCGGCTGGCTGCACCTCCACAGGTTCCTGCCTGAGCTCTCCTGAACATCAGCTGGGGGTACTAGCAGGGACCTGAATTCTTGAGACTGGTAGTTTTCAAAAATGAGGTGAAAACAAGAGTGGTTTTGTATTTCCAACCAGTCACTTGCTCAGTCAATGAACTCCTCTCCTTCCTTCCCCTATTACACACTTTGTCAAGATCAAGTCACAGGACCTACTGATTTATGTGGGCTCAGCAATTACGAACGCCAGAGTGCTCCGGGGACCTACCCAGCCCCGTAGCGGTTGTAAATCCACACTCAAAGGAAAACCAAAGGATGGGAAGGAGGAGGGTTGAGGACTGCTTGCTTGGTGCTCCTGCTTTCCATGGGAATCCGGGCCGCACTAAAAACTCTGCTGCCCAGTGGGAATGGGACCGTTTGGGAATCTGCTCAGTGTTTTCCCCCACTCCCTTGATGGTAAGGGACAGGACAAGCACTGTGTGGCGCTGGGGTGGGGGCTGCAGGCATGGCCTTCAACAGGGCCCAGTGAGGTAATGCAGGGCCCTCTCCCAGGGGCTGCTGAGGCTCTTCCAGGCCAGGGACTAAGCGAGGGGCCCAGCTGCCTTGTTAATTTAGAGATTTGCTTGCACCAACTGAAACCACTCTGGCCTCTGGTCCGTAGGGGGCACCTCAGTCTCAATCCCGCTCTGGGCCAACATCTCCTGCTTGAAATTAGACAGTAGGAAATTAGACAGACACACTCACTCAAGAGGAACTGCGTACACCACCAACCCCACCCCCAACCCTGCCCCGTTATGTTTGTCTAGCAAGGCACTAGGAAATGGTTCAAGTTTAGGGATTTACTGTACATTTGCATTTTTTTCTTCTTAAAAGGCACAGTTTTATTTTAATGATGCTGCATTGCTCTCCAAGGATGACTCCTAACTCAACTCTCCAAATGGCTGCATGCTTGTTACCTTAAAGAGTCTAGAAGGGGCTCATCTTCGGACTCCCTTCTACAGACTGCCACTTCTAAAGGTGTAGCACTCGATTGGAAAAGGGCACTAGGGACCAACAAGCAAGCTTCCCAAACACAGGGGCCGCCTCTCCTGCCGACAGGGGGCCAGGGCAGAATTGTGCTGGGGTTACGTAGAACTGCTCCTTTGCCAGCTACGCGTTTAATCAGAGTGGCTGTCTGGTAGGGAGTGTTTACCCCCTCCCCCCGGAAAACTGATGGCCTTGAGATCAGCCAGCATCTCAAAGGCAGATCTGTGGCTCTGTTCCCAGATTTATGTCTCAGTTATTTAACTGGTAAATGGCATAACCAACTCTAATTGGAATATTGACTTCAAGCACTTCTTGGGCTAGCTGGTGGAGGCTATGGTGGAGGATGTGGAATGCGATTTCCATTTCTGAACCAGTGGGTGGTAGGTTGGTTGCAGAGATGCTTTCCATTGGTTTGGGAGGCCCCTGTGAGTCTGACAAGTAATCATCAAAGCAAAAGGTAAACATGAAGGACTGGCATGGAGCTGTGGCGGCTCCAGGGCTTCTGTCTCCTCTGAGGACCAAGGCAGAGCAGGCCTCTGGTATGGGCCGATGGACGCACATACCCCCCATGTCTTCCTGCACCAACATCACCAACCTTGGATTTCACAGATTATCTCTAGGCTGGGGGCTGCCTTGACTGCATTACACTTGGCTGGCTGCTTTAATCACAGCATTCTAGAAATCCATATTGGATGCTAGAATACCAGAATCCTATGTTGCATCCTAGAGTGTGTGATCGGATGACAGAGTTCTCTAACGAATTCTAAAGTTCTATTGAGAACTAGAACCATGATGATGTCAGAGGCGAGGTGTCTTGCCCACAGTCCACCCGGAGGTCTCCAGACTTTGTCAAGTGAGCACCTCTGTTCCTCTCTCAAGGCAAGTAATTGCCAGGGAGAGAGAAATGGAAGCATGGGCTGGGAAGTCTGCCAGCATTCCCAGTTTGGAAGTCTTCTCCCAGGTTTTTTCACGGGCCCAAGGGCATCTGAAACACGGCCCTGAGAAGCTGTTGGGGAGGCTGTCCTTGTGCTGGGAGAGCTCTGAAACGGGCATCTCACGTACCCGGAGACCAGGGGAGACATCCTGTATGTCCGTGGCTGCAAAGGACTATCTGAGATCCCTCTTCTGACCTCATGCCTGTCAGCTGGCCAATGCTCAGCATCGAATGCTCTGAGGGCCCAGGTGTAGCCTCCGAGTGAATCACCTGGGGCTGTGACAGAACAGAAGCTGAGCAGGGACTGCCCTGCAGAAACTAAAGGCAGAAACCAGTGGCCCAGAGGAGGACCTCTTTCCCTTCTGGTAGATGGGTGGCATTGGTGCTGTTAAAACTACCCCAAACTGGCACATTTTGCCTATCTTTCTAAAAGACCTTCAGGTATGGTAGCCACCTGAGGGCTGGGCAACCTTGCAGACTCATTGCTGGGTGGCCTAGGAGTGCCCCAGCATTCCTCCAGCAGGATACTCATGGGGACATGGTGACAAAGTTGAACAGGACCTCCTGGGTTCCCGTGACGCCAGCAGGGGTTAAAGCAGCTCAGCTCTCACCTGGGGCCTCTTGTGGGGTCTGTTTCCCACCTCATCCCCGAGACACAAGGGCTGAAGGACCAGAAAGACACTGTGCTGCAGCTCTGGGAGGCCTGGGCGGTGTGGCTTCAAGAGCCCTCTTCACCCTGAACTGCGTGGCCAGCACCTGTTACATCATGGAGCCCAGGGGGCCCTCGCCTCCCTCGGGAGAGGAAGGCTGCAGTGAGGGTGGGGGCCCCTGCCAGGCCAGCCAAGGGGACACCAGGGTTCAGTTTCGATTGAATTTTTCCAAGACTGTTGCGTTGGTGTGTTCAAACAGCCATTGCTGGGTGGGAGAGGAGGGGTTGCAGGTATTCATGAAGATTCTGTGGTCACTTTCACTGCAGTCCATGCAGCTGCCGCTGATGGGGTGGTACAGGGTCTTGTCCTACAAAAGAGGGAGGCTGTCAGGCAGGCAGCGCTGGGGATAGGAACAGTCAAACAACAGCAACAGCAGTAAGCAGTGAGGAAGTGGCTGGCTAGCTGCTCGCCACCCATTTGGCTTTCCTCCTGAGTCTCTCTGGCAGTTGGCGTCACCATGTGGCTGAGTTCTAGCCACGGGGATATGGGCAGAAGTGGTGTGTGCCACTTCCAGGCCTGGGTCCTAAAGCTGCCCATCTCCAGTGAAATTTCACTGGTCCTCATGCTGGCTTTTATTTTTACTTTTTAATAGGCTCAAGTTGCCAGCATTTAAGATTCTGGGAATGTCACATAAAAATCTGGATTTCTGGCTTTCCTGGAACAACTGGAAAATTGGGCATGGTAGGTCTGTGGAATGAGTGAGTGAGCTATATTGGGAAGTCCTATGTTGCTTTTTTTTTTTAAAAAAAAAAAAAAAAAAAACAGTGTTAACTTTGGTTCAGCTCTTTGGTGTTAGTTGCTCTCAAGCCAGTTCTAACTCATGGTGACCCCATGTGTGCAGAGTAGAACTGCCCCACAGGGTTTTCAAGGCAGTGATCTTTCAGAAGCAGATCACCAAGCCTTTCTTCTAAGGTGCCTCTGGGTGGGTTTGAACCTCCAACCTTTCGGCTAGTAGTCAAGTGCTTAACCATCCGCACCATCCAGGCACTCCCCTATATTGCTTTTTCAGAATCATGCTGGTTGCCGTGCTCTCCCCACATACTCCTGACTTACTTTCCGGTATTTCCACAGCTGGTTGCCTTTCATACTGTGACAGTCATAGAGGGTGACTGGGCTGTTGTGGGAGATGGCGTCAAAGCAGAACTTCTTGGTATGCTGTGGGTCTCCAGGCCGGATGTCCTCTCTCCAGGTGAAAGTGAACACCTGTGCACACAGGGACGTCATGAAAGGGACATCAAAGCCAGGGACGCTTTTCTTTCCCCCCATTTGTTTAATCATGAAACATTTTAAACACAGAGGTCCAGAGAGAGTATACTGACCATATCTCCCATCCCAATCGCCCAGCTTCCACAATTACCAATTCCCGGCAATCATGTTACAGCTGTACCCCCACAACTACCCCCTACTCCACATTATTCTGAAGCAAATCCCAGGTATCATATCATGTCAGGTGTTAAGTACTTCAGTAAGTACCATATAACAATGAAAAGTTATCAATAATTTCTTTGCTTTTTAATTAAATACTGTGTTTTTGATGAAAGTTTACACCTAATTAGGTTTCCACTTAACAATTTATACACAATTTGTTCAGTGACATTGGTTATATTTTTTCACAAATATATTTCTCCTGATTTCTGTTCTGGCTGTTCTGTTTCCAGTAATCTAGTTTCCCTGCGTCCTTGCCTTCTCATCTTTGCTTTTGAGTATACGTTGACTGTTTGGTCTCACATAGATGATTTTTTAAAAAAGCACAGTACCGACAGATGATATTGTTTATTTTATGAGCCAATCTGTTATTTAGCTAAAAGATAACCTCATGGAATAGTTTTGGTTCAAGGTTTACAGAGTATCTCAGGGTGACAGTCTTGGGGAGTCCTCCAGTCTCAATCAGTCCAGTAAGTCTGGACATTTTAAGAATTTGAGTTCTGTTCCACATTTTACTCCCATTCTATCAGGATCCATCTATTGTGTTCCTTATCAGATTGGTTAGTAGTGGTAGCTGGGCACCATCTGGTTCTTTTGGTATCAGGATAGATGAGGTCGTGGTTCATGTAGACTTAATAGTCCTGTGGACTAGTTTTTTCTCTGAGTCTTTGGTTTCCTTCTTTCTCTTTTATTCTGGATGTGCAGAGACCAATAGCTGTATCTTAGATGACTGCTTGCAAGCTTTTAAGAACCCAGAAGCCTGCTACTCACTAAGCTAGGATGTAGAACATAATCTTTATGTACTATATTATGCCAGTTGACCGAGCTGTCCCACAAGACTATGGTTCTAAGCCTTCAGACACCATAAACCAACCCTGCACGGTGTTTGGTTAAGTCTAAGAAGTATCCATGTTTGTGCCCCCTATGTGCTTTATTGTATATATGAATATATGTGGATGCAAACACTTACATATATATACACCTGCATATAGATACATGTATATATGCCCACACATATACATACATACACATGTAACCGCACTATTTTTAGTTATCGTTACACAGTTGTACAATGATTTCTTAATGCCATCAAATATCCAGAGTTCAAGTGTTCTTGACTGCTTTATAAACTTCATTTCACAGTTAGCCTGTTTGAATCAGAATTCAGACCAGGTCCACATGTTGCATCTGGCTGACAGCTTGTTTCGGGTGTTGTTGCTTAGCAGCTTTACTGAAGATAACTGACATACGGTAAACTGTACACATTTGAAGTGTATAATTTGGTACGTTTTGACATACGTTTACACCCATGAAACTATCAGCACAATGAAGATAATCAACATATCCATCATCCACCAAAGTGTCCTCATGCTTCTTTGTAATCTCTTCCTTTACCCCTTCCCGTCCCTATCCCTAGGCAACTGCTGATCTGCTTTGTGTTACTAGAGATGAGTTTGCAATGTCTAGAATTATACATAAATGGAATCATATAATCTGCCTTTTATTTTTACTCAGCATAATTTTGTTGAGATTCATTCATGTTATAATAGCATTTATTGATTGTTTATTCCTTGTTATTGCTCACTAATATTTTATTACATGGACATACCACTCCACTTACCCGTTCTTGAACGTGTAGGTTGTTTCCAGTTTTCGGCTATTACAAATAAAGATGTTATGAATATTTGTGTATAAATCTTTGTATCGATTTTTTTTCCTCTTGGATAAATACCTAGGAGTAGAATGGCTGGATCATATGATACCTCTATGTTTAACTTTCTAAGAAACTGCCAAACTGTTTTCTAAAGTGATTATACTGTTTATATTCCCACAGCAGTGCACAGTTCTATATCCTTACCAACACTTGGTATGGTCAGGCATTTCATTGTAATTTTAATTTCTATTTCTCTAATAATTAATGATGTTCAGCATCTTTTTATGTGTTTATTTGCTACCCATATATCTTTTTGGTCAAGTGTCTGTACAAATCTTCTGCCAATTTTTAAACTGGGTTGTTTTCTTATAAAATTTTTAGAGTTTTTAATATATTCTAGATACAAGTCTTTTATCAGGTATATGTCTTACGAAGACTTTCTCCCAGTCTGTGCCTTGCCATTTTATATTCTGAACAGTGTTTTTTAAAGAATAGAATTTTTTTGCTTTGAAGAAGTCCAATTTGTCAACTTTTCTTTTATGTATTGTGCTTTTGGTGTTATATCTAAGAAATCATTGCTTAACCCAAGGTCACTTTTGCCTATGTTTTCTTCTAGAAGCTTTTTAGTTTTATGTTCAGGTCTATGATCCATTTTGAGTTAATTTTTATATATGGTATAGGGTATGTATTGAAGTTCATTTTGGGGGAAACCCTGGTGGTGTAGTGGTTAAGAACTAAGGCTGTTAACCAAAAGGTTGGCAGTTCGAATCTACCAGGTGCTCCTTGGAAATCCTATGGGGCAGTTCTACTCTGTCCTATAGGGCTGTTATAAGTTGGAATCAACTCGATGATGGGTTTGGTTTTGGTTTTATACAACTGTTTCAGCACCATTTGTTGAAAATATTATCCTTTCTTCACTGAATTGCCCTTATATCTCTGAAAAAAATCAGTTGTTTACATATATGTGAGTCTATTTCTGGACTCTCTACTCTGTTCCATTGATCTGTTGCCTGTCTTTATGTCAATATCACACTGACTGATTATTGTCACTTTATAATATAGCTTGAAATCTGGTAGTATTAGTCCTCTGACTTTGTACTTCTTTTTCAAAGTTGCTTTGGCTATTCTGGGTCTTTTGCATTTCCATAGGAATTTTACAATCAGCTTTTCAAATTCTATTAAAAGCCTGCTGAGATATTGAGTAGGATTGTGTTGAATCTATAGATTAGTTTGGAAAGAAATGACATCTTATCAATATTGAATCTTCCAACCCATGAACATGGTATATATATATCTTCATTTATTTACAGCTTCTTCAATTTCTATCAGGAGGCCTTCACAGTTTTCAGTGTATAGGTATTCCACATCTTTTGTCAGATATATACCTGGCTATTTCATATTTTTTCATGTAATTGTAAATGTTTGTTTTTAATTTCTGATTCTTCATTAGTAGTATTTGGAGATACAATTGATCTTTGTATCTTGCAACTTTGCTAAATTCGGTTTTTAGTTATGCTAGCTTTTCTGTAGACTGAATTGGATTTTCCATACAGATGATCATATTGTCTGTAAATAAAGGCAGTTTTACTTCTTCTTTTCCCTTTTGGTTGACTTCTTTCTTTTTCTTGCCTATTGCATAGGCTAGAACTTCCAATACAGTGTCAAATAGAAATGATGAGATTGGACAGCCCTGTCTTGTTCCTGATCTTAGGAAGAAAACATTCAGACTTTTTCCATTATAATGTTAGTTATAGGTTTTTCATTTGTTGTTGTTAGTGGCTGTCGAGTTGATTCTGACTCATGGCAACCCCCTATATGCAGAGTATAATGGTTCCATAGGGTTTTCAAGGCTGTGACCTTTTAGAAGCAGGTTGCCAGGCCTGTCTTCCAAGATGCCTCTGGGTGGCTTTGAACTGCCAACCTTTTGGCTAGTAGTCGAGTGGTTAACCATTTACCACATGCCTGTTCCCCTTAATCCAGCTGAGGAACTTCCCTTCTATTCCTGGTTTGCTGAGGGATTTTTTTTTTTTTTTTAATCAAGAATGGATGTTGGGTTTTGTCAAATGCTTTTTCTGGGTTTATTGGGGCAATTATATGTTTTTTCTCTTTCAGTTTGTTAATATGAGGAAATTGAAGATTTTTCCAACTTCTACAATCTGAAATTGATCTAACATGCAATCAAGATGCATTGATAATTACTGGTGATTGGAATGTGAAAGTTGGAAGCAAAGAAGAAGTTGGAAAATATGGCCTTGGTGACAGAAATGATGCCAGAGATCACATGATGGAATTTTGTAAGACCAATGACTTATTCATTGCAAATACCTTTTTTCAACAACATAAATAGCAACTATACACGAGGATGTCACTGGATGGAAAACACAGGAATCAAATCGACTACATCTGTGGAAAGAGACGATGGAAAAGCTCAGTATCATCAGTCAGAACAAAGCCAGGGGCCGACTGTGGAACAGACCATCAATTGCTCATATGCAAGTTCAAGCTGAAGCTGAAGAAAATTAAAACAAGTCCATGAGAGCCAAAATATAACCTTGATTATATCCCACCTGAATTTGGAGACCATCTCAAGAATAGATTTGACGCACTGAACATTAATGACCGAAGACCAGAGAAGTTGTGGGATGACATTAAGGACATCATACATGAAGAAAGCAAAAGATCATTAAAAAGACAGGAAAGAAAGAAAAGACCAAAATGGATGTCAGAGGAGACTCTGAAACCTGCTTTTGAACGTACAGTAGCTAAAGCAAAAGGAAGAAATGATGAAGTAAAAGAGCTGAACAGAAGATCTCAAAGGGCAGCTCGAGCAGACAAAGTAAAATATAATGAAATGTGCAGAGACCTGGAGTTAGAAAACCAAAAGGGAAGAACATGCTCAGCATTTCTCAAGCTGAAAGAAATGAAGAAAAGATTCAAGCCACAAACTGCAAATTTGAAGGATTCCATGGGCAAAATACTGAATGACGAAGAAGCGTCAAAAGCAGATGGAAGAAATACACAGAATGACTGTACCAAAAAAGAATTGGTCAACGTTCAACCATTTCAGGAGGTAGTATATTATCAAGAACTGATGGTATTGAAGGAAGAAGTCCAAGCTGCCCTTGAGGCAATGGCAAAAAACAAAGCTCCAGGAACTGATGGAATACCAATTGAGATGTTTCAACAAATGGATGCAGCGCTGGAGGTGCTCAATCATCTATGCCAAGAAATATGAAGACAGCTACCTGGCCAACCAAGTGGAAGAGATCCATATTTGTGCCCATTCCAAAGAAAGGTGATCCAATAGAATGCAGAAATTATCAAACAATATCATTAATATCACACGCAAGTAAAATTTTGCTGAAGACCATTCAAAAGTGGTTGTAGCAGTACATTGACAGGGAACTGCCAGAAATTCAAGCTAGATTCAAAAGAGGACGTGGAACGAAGGATATCATTTGCTAATGTCAGAAGAGGACGTGGAATGAAGGATATCATTTGCTAATGTCAGACAGATCTTGTTTGAAAGCAGAGAATACCAGAAAGATGTTATAACTGTGTTTTATTGACTATGCAAAGACATCTGACTCTGTGGATCACAACAAATTACGGATAACATTAAAAAGAATGGGAATTCCAGAACACTTAATTGTGCTCGTGAAGAACCTGTACATAGACCAAGAGGCAGTCATTTGAACAAAGCAAGAGGATATTGCATGGTTTAAAATCAATAAATGTGTTCATTAGGGTTGTATCCTTTCACCATACTTATTCAATCTGAGAGGCTGGGCTATATGAAGAATGCAGCATCAGGACTGGTGGAAGACTCATTAACAACCTGTGATATGCTGATGACATAACCTTGCTTGCTGAAAATGAAGAGGACTTGAAGCACTTACTGATGAAGATCAAAGACTATAGCCTTCAGTATGGATTACACCTCAAATAAAGAAAACAAAAATCCTCACAACTGGACCAATAAGCAACATCATGATAAATGGAGAAAAAATTGATATAGTCAAGGATTTCATTTTACTTGGATCCACAATAAATGCCCATGGAAGCAGCAGTCAGGAAATCAAATGACATATTGCATTTGGGCAAATCTGCTGCAAAAGATCTCTTTAGTGTTAAAAAGCAAAGATGTTACTTTGACACTAAGGTGTGTCCGACCCAAGCCACGATATTTTCAGTAGCCTCATATGCATGCAAAAGCTGGACAGTGAATGAGGAAGACTGAAGAAGAATTGATACCTTTGAATTACGATGTTGGTGAAGAATATTGAATATACCATGGACTGCCAGAAGAACGAACAACTCTATCTTGGAAGCGAGGATGGTGAGACTTCATCTCACATACTTTGGACATTTTATCAGGAGGGACCAGTCCCTGAAGAAGGACGTCATGCTTGGTAATGTAGAGGGTCAGTGAAAAAGAGGAAGACCCTCAATGAGATGGACTGACAGAGTGGCTGCAATGATGGGCTCAAGCATAACAACGATTGTAAGGATGATGCAGGACCAGGCAGTGTTTCCTTCTGTTGTACATAGGGTCGCTATGAGTCGGAACTGACTGGATGGCATCTAACAACAACAATATGGTCAATCACACTGATTAATTTTCTAATGTTACACCAATCACGCATTCCTAGGATAAATCATATTTGGTCATGATGTATCATCCTTTTTATATACTGTTGGATGTAATTTTCTACAACTTTGTTTAAAATTTTTGCATCCTTGTTCATGAGAGATATTGATCTATGGTTTTCTTGTAACGTCATAGTCTGGGTTTGGTATCAGGGTAATCTGGTCTCACAGAATGAGTTAGAATGTATCCCCTTTATAATATTCTGTAAGAATTTTTGTAGAACTGGTAACATTTCTTGCTTAAATATTTGATACAATTCATCAGTGAAGCTATATGGCTTGGATTTTTCTTTGTGGGAAGGTTTTTAATTTCAACACCAATTTCTTTAATAGGGCTATTCAGGTTATCTACTTCTTCACGAGTGAGCTTTGGTAGTTTGTGTCTTTAAGTAAATTTGTCCATTTCTTCTAAGTTGTCAAATTTATTGACATAAAACTGTTCTTAACATTCCCTTATCACCCTTTTAATATTTGTAGAATCTACAGTGATGTCATGTGTCTCATTGCTGATATTAGTAACTTGGGTCTTCTCTCTTTTTTTCCTGATCATTCTGGCTAGAGGTTTATCAATCATTTTTTCTTTTTTAATTGTGCTTTAGGTGCAAGTTTACAGAGCAAATTAGTTTCTCATTCAACAATTTATATACAAATTGTTTTGTGACACTGGTTGCAATCCCTGCAATGTGTCAACATTTTCCCCTTCTCCACTCTGGGTTCTCTGTTTCCATCCATCCATTTTTTCCTATCCTTTCCTGCCTTCTCATTTTTGCTTTTGGGCAGGTATTGCCCATTTGTTCTAGTATACATGATTGAACTTTCTCATGTAGATTATTACTGTTTGTTTTATAGACCTGTCTAATCTTTGGCTGAAGGGTAAACTTTGGGAGTGGCTTCAGTTCTGAGTTAAAAGGGTTTCCAAGGGCCATAGTCTCAGGGGTTTCTCCAGTCTCTGTCAGACCAGTAAGTCTGGTCTTTTTTTTTTTTTGTGAATTTGAATTTTGTTCTACATTTTTCTCCCGATCTGTCCAGGACCCTCTATTGTGATCCCTGTCAGAGCGGTTGGTGGTAGCTGGGCACCATCTCGTTATTTTGGGCTCAGGCTGGTGGAGGCTGTGGTACTTGTGGTCCGTTAGTCCTCTGGACTAATATTTCCCTTGTGTCTTTGGTTTTCTTCATTTTCCTTTGCTCTGGATGGGATGGGACCAGTAGATGTATCTTAGATGGCTGCTCACAAGCTTTTAAGACCTCAGATGCTACTCATCAAAGTTGGATGTAGAACATTTTCTTTATGAACTATGTTATGCCAATTGACCTAGATTGCCCCTGTGACCAAGCTTTATCAGTTTTATTGACTGTCTCAAAGAGCCTGCTTTAGGTTTCATTGATTTTTCGCTATTGTTTTTCTGTTTTTAGTTCATTGATTTCCACGCTGATCTTTATAATTTCCTTACTTCTCGTTACTTTGGTTTCCATTTGCTCTCCTTTTTCTAGTTTCTCAAGTCATTTATTTGAGATCTTTTCTAATGTAGGCATTTAGTGCTGTAAATGTCCCACTATGTACTGCTTTAGCAGTATCCTGCAAATTGTGACATGCTGTGTTTTCATCTTCATCCAGTTCAAAATACTTTCTAATTTCCCCTTTGATTTCTTCTTTAATCCACAGGTTATGTAGAAGTATGTTACTGAGTTTCCAAATATTTGGGGATTTTAAGAAATCCTTCTTTTATTGAGTTCTAATTCAATGCCACTATGGTAAGGGAACATACTTTGTATGACTTGAATCCTTTTAAATTCGTTAAGACTTGTTTTATGTCCCCGAATATGGGTCTGCTTGGCAATTGTTCCCTGTGCACTTGAGAAGAATATGTATTCTGCTGTGGTTTGGTGGAATGTTCTATAATTGTTGATCTGGCCATGTTGCTGATATCTACTATATCCTTATTTTCTGCCTATTTTGTCCTATTGATTATTGAGAGAGCAGTATATCATATCATGGTTCAGTACCCTGATGTGTTTTAGACTCACATTTCTTCCTTCACAGGTTCACAGAAGCTCTCTGCTCAGATGGCTGAGGCCCCAGGAGGCACAGGTTCCACTCGGGTAGTTTGGCTGCCATGTTTCTATTCTCAAAAGGCAGAGACTGGCCCAGCCATAAACCCAGCACCTATGCTTGTTTCAGTGAATCCTCCTCAGGCATTAGTGTGGACTGCCTGCCACACACTAAGGCTATCGAGGCCTAGCTCCCTGCACACACTCTATCTAGGCCCCATGCTCTTCCTGGTCTCACTGGGGCTCTGGGGGTGAGTGAGGGGGGAGCAGCAACATACTATCTTGGAGAACTCAGAAATTAGTCAGGGAGAGCCACTATCTAATAAGAATTGTTATCAAGAAAGGATGAGGCAGAGCAAGAAGCACTTCAGAGGAGGGACAGATGCAGTGAGGCTGCGGTCTGTGCCAGGCCGAGAGGTGGTGCTGCCCATTCTCAGCATGTGTCCATGCACCCCTGCTTCTGAGTTCTGTTTCTACAGAAGACCCACATTAATATGCTTATCAGTATACACTTCCAAAATGCCAGGAACATCCAGTTAGAAGGACACTATATGAATGTATCCTCAAACCCAGATTCAGTGGATTCTGGGTTTCTTAACATTTGGGTTAACTGCTCTGAGGAAGGGAAAGCTAAATGCAGCTTCTCAAAGACAGAGGCGGCTTTTCCTGCGAGGCTGCTTGCACTCCTCATTCTTTTGGTAACATCCTTGGGAAGCCACCCCCTCCCCCTCTCCTCCCTTTCATTCAGGTGAGGCTGACCACACCCCCAAGAGTGGGCATATGACCCAGGCGTGGTAGTAAGAGGACTGCATCACCTTGCCCACAGTGATTGGCTCAGAGGAGCCAAAGCATGAGCCCTTAGGGCTCTTCCTCAGCTCCTGAAGAGACATGCCCCTCCACTGGGGGACTGGAAGCCTCAGCTGCCACCACCACATGGGAAGGGCCAGGCTAAGAATGAAGCAGCAGACAGGGAAGCGAAGTTGAGACCCCGGAGAGATCCAGATGCCATGGTCTAGACTTCAGTGACCATGAGCCAATAAATCCCTCTTTTTGCTGAAGGCCATTGGGACTAGGTGCCCGTCATTTGTAACCAAAACAGTCTAGACTGATGATTTTATTGCAGAGTGAAGGCCTCCTCTCTCATGGTGCTCTTATAAAGTCATTCCCTGACATTTTTTGTCCCTCACTGCTGACCCACAGCCTCTCCCTCTAGCCTGCAGATGGGAGGAGTATCCAGATGCTATCCCCGGAGCAGCCCTTACCTGCATGTTGTTCCAGGCAGCCTCCCCGCGGCCCCGCACACAGCTCTCTAGCCTCAGCGCAGAGCCCAGGGCCCCATGCTTCGTGTCTGCACACAGCCCCGTGCCCACACTGCGGATCTGAAAGGGAAGAGGGGAGGAGAGGACCAGTGAGGTACCTCAAGGCGCCTACCTGGGCCCTTGATGGGGTGGGAAGAGGGAGCCAGGGCAGAGATGTTAGATGGGGTTGTCTGGGCTGTCTTCATAAAGCTTGCCCTGGGGTTGCTGGAAACGCCTGGAGTCTCTCAGTGAAGGAATACTCAGTCAACGAAGAGCAGCTCCTCAAAACACTGGTCTGTTCTGAGCACGCAGAGTCATGTGGTGGGGGTAGTGGGGTGCTGGAGGTGACGGATTGTTGAAATGCAGACCCCCTGGCCCTGCTTCCAGAAAATTTGATTCAGTAGACCCAGGAATCAAATTTTGCCCTGTTAAGGATTGAACTGTGTCCCCCAAAATATGTACTGAATTCCTGGCCCTTGTACCTGTGGATGTGATCCTGTTTGGAAACAGGGGTTTTCTTTAGTTATGTTAATGAGGTCATACCAGTGTAGGGTGGGTCCTAAGCATAATTACTTCTGAGTTCTAAAAAGACCAGAGTAGACACAGAGACACACACAGGGAGAAGACAGATGCCATGTGAGGATTGTCTACAAGCCAAGAAACCAAGGAATGCTTGGGGCTACTGGCAAGGAAGGAGTCAACAGGGCTGAGACCCTGATTTGGACTTTTAGCCTCCAGAACTGACAGGAAATAAATTTCTATTCTTTAAAGCCATCCACTTGTGGAATTTATGTTATAGCAGCACTAGGAAACTAAGACAGCCCCATTCCAGGTGACCCAGGTGCAGGTGGTCCAGGGACTGTGCCCTTAAAAACCACCTTGTCTATGACTGAGTAATTGGGGCCACTGACAGGTCCGAGACGTCATGCTTTCTGTTCAAACCAGAACTTGCTTTGAACACACAAAGGAGGCAATGGTGTTCTGAGAAACAAGAATGACCGAGGAACCCTTTCATATCCTTTCTTACTCGGTTCCTTCCCTGTATTAGTTGATCCCTACACAGCAGATGATGACACAGGAGGACAGGGAAAGCAGGGCCACCCACAGTTCCTTTTCATTTCAGTCCTTCCTTACTCATCAGTAAGCCGAAGGTAGAGAGTGTTAGGAGAACTTGCACATTCTCAAGAAGTAAAGTAAAACCAGCTGAGTTAGTTTAGCGCAGTGTTCCCGCTGTTCTGGTGAGACTGAAATACATACGCATAGAACTTGTTGCCATCGAGTCCATTCCGACTCATAGCCACCCTACAGGACAGGGGAGAACTGCCCCACAGGGTTTCCAAGGAGCGGCTGGTGGATTCAAACTGCCGACCTTTTGGTTAGCAGCCGAACGCTTAGCCACTGCACCACCAGGGCTCCCACATGCATAGATGAGGTATGAAATACAGATCATGCAATTTCAGTGATTTTACACATGCATTAAATGCTCTTATACTTCCATTGAAAAGTGGCATTGCATAATACGAAGATGAATGGTAAATTCAAGCTAGTAATTTAAACTTGTAACTTTTCTTTACTTAGAAGATTAAATAGCAAATAAAAAACACCATGGCAAGTCTAGAGAGATCGGGAGAGGGAGAGAGCATGGAAGAAAGGAAAAAGTTTCATATTTCATACCTTTAACGGCACCTTTTTCTTGTCTGTGAACAAGAGGCCTGTGTGTTCATTTTGCACTTGGCCCTGCAAATTACGTAGCCAGCCCTGTCCTCCGGACTCACCTCCCCCCAGGCCGCCGCTGGAGGCTCCACGGGCGGGTAGAACTTGGGCAGGTCCCAGGCGATCTTTGTCATAAACCACTTGAAACTCTTGCAGTTCAGGGAGCTGCGGAGCTTCTTCTGGGCGGCTACGTCCCCGGCAGAGAGGTGGCGGTACTCGGGCCGGCGCTGGTAAATGTACTCGGCGTACTCATCCATCCACACTTCCGCCACTCGCTTAAGGTTCTGGAAGATGAGAGGCAGGTGGGGGGTCAGCCCTCTGAGGAACCGAGGCTGGGTCGGGGCAGAGCCCTGGCAGGAGGAGGTCAGACTTTCATATTTTATGTTGCATCTAAGGCCCTTGTCTCACTGAGACAGAAATTAAAATCTCATGGTTTCTAACACCATCTATGTGGTTTTAGGTAGCCCTGGTGGTGCAATAGTTAAACGCTCAGCTGTGAACTAAAAGGTTGGCGGTTTGAACCCACTCAGTGGTTCCATGGGAGAAAGGCCTGGCAATCAGCTCCCATAAAGATGACAGCCTAGGAAACCCTATGGGGACATTCTAGTCTGTTAAAAGGGGTTGCTATGACTCGAAAATCAACTTGATGCCACCTAACAACAACAACATATTCCTATTTATTATTTATGTAAGTTTTAAAGATGTTACAATTTACAGTGGAATAATGGACCACTGTTGCTTTTGCCTGCCCATCTTCCATTTCTCCCTTTTTAGTGACAGCCCCCCAAATTTTCCTTTGGGGAGGCACCCCTGCGCTGCTTTCAGTTCCTGTGGTTTGGGGAAGGGCCTGTGACCTGGCCTGGCTAGTGTGACTATAGAGACCCCTAACCCCAGGGAGTGGTCAGCAGTGTGCATGTGACTCCAGCCAGGCCAGTCACAACCAATGGGCACTGGCCCTGAAATTTTTGCTGTAACTATGAGAAGAAATGCTCTATTTCCGCTGGGATTGCTGGCTAAGATGCCAGTCAGAGCCACCACATGAAGAAAGCCTGTTCAAAGATGAAGTCCACCTGAATGAAGCAGAGCTAAGAGCTAGAGCAGGTACACAGTCCTCCTTTGAGCCCCTGGATCCAGCTGTGCCTGAAGCCAGTCTACCTCAGGACTTCCCAATTACATAAGCCAGTAAATTCTTTTTGCATAAGCCAGCTTCAGTTGGGTTTCTGTCATTTTCAACTAACAAGTTCTAGTCAAGTCATATGGTGAAAACAAATTGTAATTTACAACCAAAAGGTATAATTCCACCAACAACTGGGGTATGTAATAGTCCTTTTAGATAAGAAGGTTGCTTCTACTTTTATTATGAAGCCCAAGGATAACTGGTTAAAAAAAAAAAAAAAGAAAAAAAAAAATCAACCATATTATTGGCAAGTAGAGGCAGCACGTGAAGAAACATCCTGTTTGTGAGCAGACTTGGGGATAGAGGAGTAAATTCATATGTGCAATACTATGAAAATTCCTCATTCCATCTGTAGCATGGATACTATCCGCTGAGAACCTCTGACATCTGGCACTTCGGGGCAGGGTGTGGGGGGACTCCCTGCTCCAAAACAGCTTCCTCCAACCCCTGCCTATTGCTAGAAATCCCCCCATACTTAAGTCTCTAGGCTTGCCTCTATCAAAGTTTTTTTCTCTATTGCAATCCAAAATACTCTCTGCAGGGTAAAGCAGAGTTAGCCCTTTAGGCTGGTATCAGTCATTTATACCTAAGTGTAAATGACCGCTCTAGGAGAAGGTAAGGCAGGAGTCAGCAAATGTTTTCTGCAGGACTTCCAACCAGTTAGTTTCGGTTTTAACCCCTGCTGATAATTTGCATTTCCACCCCAGGTACACTGAATCAGAATCTACAGTTTAACAAGATCCTCAGGTGATTCTTCTGTATAATAAACTTTGAGAACCACTGCTCTACTAATGGTTGTCAGAATTAGTCCCTAACCAGCAGCATTAGCATCACCTGGAAAGTTGTTAGAAATGTAAATTCTCAGCAGAAGTTTGAACAGGATCAAACCAGTTCAAAGCCCTGGTTTTCTGTAAAGGGCCAGATAGTTTGTAAATGTTTTGCAGATCATATGGTCTCTATCAGATACTCAACTCTGATGTAGCTCTAAAGTGCCCATAACAGTATGTAAATGAATGGGTGTGGTTGTGTTCCAATACAATTTTATGGGCACTGAAATTAGATTTTTGTGTCATAAAATATTCTTTTTTTTAAAAAAAAATTTCCCCCAACTATTTAAAATGTAAGAATCATTCTTAGTTCATGGATCATACAAATACAGGTGGTGGGCTGAATTTGGCCCATGGGCTATAGTTTGCTGACTCCTGAGTATGGCAGAAGGAAGGCAACATGAGGAAGGCCCTGACACTGAAGATCAAATCCACCAACTCCTCAATTTTGCTGCCTCTGAGTTTGAGGCCAGGAAACGACTGAATTTCCTTGCTGCTACCTCGTTCTTCCTGAGGGCTGAGGAGGTCGATGGTGGGTTACCCAACAGTTCAGGAACAGTGTCATTCCCACCAGGCCACTGCACTGACAAAGGCTGTTTAATTTAAAACTGTGTCCAGTGAAAGTTGAAGACGTAACAGTCTGTAGACCTTAACACTCTAAACCACAGCATCTCCTCTCCTTTCCCAGCCTGTTCACCCAGGTCCTCAGCCTCACCATCTGATTAGCTCAAGCCACAGAGGCAATGAGGAACCAGTGCAGTTTTCTCTCTGATCATCGGCAGGAGCCGAAATTCACCGGCGTTATTCTTAAAGGATCAAATCACTTACTATTTTAATGAATAAATTTTAATTTTATTAATCAATATTTTAATTCATATTGCATGAATGTATTTTCTGACATGACTCAACAAGCCAGTTCTCCCAGATCTTGAACTTGTACAACTGATCGTTTTGACTGAAGTAAAGGACTTTACATTTATCTCTGTTGTTGATTTTGTTTTTATTGTTGATTTGTGGCTTAGGAGACACCATGTGTTACAGAGTAGAACTGCTCCATAGGATTTTCTTGGCTGTGATCTTTTTGGAAGGAGATTGTCAGGCCTTTTTCTTCCATGGTGCTGCTGGGTGGGTTCAAACCGTCAACATCTTGGTTACCAGCCGAGCACCAACTGTGCCACCCAGGGATCTCGTTTACATTTACTTCTATTACACTTCACCTTGTTAGAATCATGAAAAGGCCTTTGAGATTTTAGTGAGCTGCATGCTCCTCATATCCCTACTCTCAACACCCTCTGAGTTCTGGGTTCTAGTCCCACCTGAGGCCTGAATGCACTTCTTGTACTTAAGTTAGAGGTTTGCCTGGATCTTGGAATAAGTCTCTACTTCTGTTTCACTAAGTTTGAGTGGGTCTCTGTTACTGCCTTCCCTAGGACTCCCTTCCCAGAGGCAGGGACAAGAAAGATTTTCAGCAAATTTAGTAAACAAAGTAAGACTGGCTACTTGTTCTTGAGGCAAGCAAAGGCTGGTGGTTAGCTTATCCTTCCTGAATTGCTGTTATAGCATGTTGTCCAGCTGTTTGTCCTTCTGGAGTCAGCACAATTGCAGTAAGACCTTTCTCTGGCTGTCTTAAGACTATTAGCACACAACCCTGCAACTCTAGCGACATGATATTCTAGGAGATGGTGTTCTACAAGGCTTAGGATTGGGCTGTTAAAACACTGAGCAAACATTTTAAATCTTATCTGCAACTAAATGAGATTTGTTAGATACCACAATAAAAGGCCATAGGTGCTTGATTCAGGCATCTTTGTGGTCCTGCAAACCTACACCCTATCAGACTAGACGGATCATGGGGGAGAGGCAGGCATGGGGCACCACCTAGACTGTAAACTGGTTTAAAGTTAAACACAGGATACTGATTCAGCACAGAGAGCTAAAAAGGAAGTTAAAATGCCTAAACACAGAATTCATATAGAACAATCTTAATTGTTAATATTGATGCTGATACTAACAACAGCAGTTGCTATTTAAGGAAAAACTGCAAGGTGCCAGACACCTGTCAGACCTAAACAGGTTTGAATTATGGCTCTACTGCTTATCAGCTAATCACCTTGCACTAATTACTTAACACCTCTATGCTTCACTTTCCTCATCTCTAAAATGAGGATAAAAACAAGTGAGAATTGAGATAAGCATGTAAGATGTTTTGCATGATGCCTCACAGGAACTTTTTATGAGTTATAAAAAACAAAACAAAACAAAAACTCCAAACCTGTTGCTAACGAGTTGATTCTGACTCATAGCAACCTTACAGGAGAGAGCAGAACTGCCCCATAGGGTTTCCAAGGAGCAGGTGGTGGATTCAAACTGCTAAGCTTTTGGTTAGCAGCCAAGCTCTTAACCACCAAGGTTCCAAAAGTTACACCAAAAAAAAACCCCTGCCATCGAGTCGATTCTGACTCATAGTTACCCCATAGGGTTTCCAAGGCTGTAAATCTCTATGGAAGCAGACTGCCACATCTTCCCCCTGTGGAGCTGCTGGTGGTCTCGAACCGCTGACCTAAGAGTTACACGGTTATTATCCATTGGATTCATATATGGTTCAATAAGCCGGAGGTGGTAATGTCTTTAACAGCTGGCCCTTAAACATGACAAAAACTCTGGATTGGAAAAGGATATTTTGGGGGTCAGAGGGGTCCCCACGGTTCCTCCATCCCCTGTATCTGGAAGAGTCGCCATCTTGGACTTACTGAGTGCGTGTGCACTGTTTTCCTGCCTGATGTCTTCCTCAGGGGTCGCCAATGGAATTTCTGATGACATATGATTTCTGCCTCTCCTACTGAATCTAGAACTCAATCCCCAGTCAGATGCGGTGTCCAAAGCGTCGATGGCTGGTGCGGCTGTTGTTAGAATCATTCACCACTAGAGGGGACTGCCGGCTCTCTTTTCCCTCAACGCTGTTCCTGAAAGCAGCCCCTGCTGCCTCCCTGAGCGCCGCTCCCCACACACAGGTGGGGCTTGGGGAGACACTTTGCCTCTTTGAGCCTCTCAGATTTCCTTGTAAATCGCAGGACAACAGCTCTTCCAGGTCCCAGGGGCTAGCATTCTGCATGTCAAAATTGTCAAGTGACGAGAGAGGGGAGGCATCGGGCGGAGCAGAAGAAAGCTGTGGACCTATGCCTAACAGGCTCAGGCTTGCCCCGGGGGTCTTGGCGTGGGGGGCGTGGGTGTCTCCACCAGGCAAAACTGCAATGACCTTTCCACCTTTTGCCGAAAACCTTCCTCTGGGGACCCTCCACCTCTTCGTTTTCCTTTTATAGTCCCCTTGTTTTTTTCAAGACACAATATTTTAAAATTTATTATTATGGTTTAGTGAAATATCACTGTTTAAAATAATAATAAAAAAACACCCTGGCTCACAGATTTCCATTTGTAGTCTGTGGCCAATTTAATCCAAGCAATGATACAAATCATTTTAAGGCAATGAAACAGTCTGACACAGTTTTTGGCAATGAAAGTGGGGAGGGGGTGGGAGAGGGAAAGACACTGACAATTATTAACCATCCTGGTGGCAGGAACTTTTAAGTACCTGGTCTCAGGTTTTCCCAAATACACCACATCACCTGTATTAATATTTAGCTAACATATTTCTTTAAATAAGGAGCCCTGGTGGCTCAGTGGTTAAGTACTCAGTTAACCAAAAGGTCAGCAGTTCAAATCTCCCAGCCACTCCGCAGGAGAAAGATGTGGTGGTCTGCTTCCAAAAAGATTACAGCCTTGGAAACCCTATGGGGCAGTTCTACTCTGTACTGTAAGGTCGCTATGAGCTGGAATTGACTTGACGGCAAGGATTTTTCTTTACATCACCCAGGTCTAACTCTGCTACCCACTCGAGCTTTATCCTGAATATCTGTGAAATCACAAGCTTGCTATACGAATACACATCAATTTCTAACCCACATTAACATAAACTCATGAAAATGTTCTTATGTCTACCACCTAAAATCATCTCCGTCTGTTACACTTTGGAAAACTGCGTCATCTCCTTAATTCCCCTGGCAATGCTCAGAGTTGGAAAGAATCAACTCTCTTTAAATAAAGGAGGAAACACAGGCTCAGAGGAGTTAAGCAACCCTTCCAAGGTCACACAGTTAATAAATGGTGAAGCAGGGATTTAAGTAAGGTCTCAGGCACCTCAGGGTGCCTCTGCTCTGCTTAAGAGTCTAGGTTGACCCCTCCCCTCTTCCCCCAGGAGATTCATCACCTTACCCGGGCCAGGCTGACTCCAGCGGGGACCTTGTAGGGTACATACTTCCTGTAGATATGGCCCACCCTGGAGCAGGGGATGTCCTCCATGCGGCCCCCACACATCCACACCTGCAAAGAGTGAAGGGAGAGAGATGATGTTCCTGCCTCCAATTCATTGTTCCTCAAAGGCCAGCGTTCTGTAGTGTGTTCAGCGAAAGCATCAGCCTGGATCATCTGCTGAAGCCCTGGGTTCACAGAGCTAACAGGGGAAGAGAACGACAGTAATAACAGCAGCAGTAAAAAATAGCTGACAGCATTGAGTGCTTACTCATTGCCAAGCACTGTGCATAACCACATTTAAGCCTCATTAGAGAACCCATAAGGTAGGTAGTAACATAGCTCCATTAAGCAGAGCAGCTGAGAAACCTGTCTAAGGATACAGAGCTAGTAAGCGGTAGAACCAGAATGTAAGTCCAGTTTTAGCTGACTCCACAGCCTGAGCTGTATACCACTGTGGACTCCTGGAGTGCTGTGTTAAGAATTCTAAGGCAGCATCAGGGCTTGGTAGGAAAAACTATGGTGATCATTTAGCAACGTCTGCCACAGGAACGAGAGGAGGCTAGGGGGTACACAGGCTCTAGATGGTTACTGATTCTGGCATTAGACTCTGGACTTTCCTCCTAGATCTTTAAGCCTCTTGCTGGGTTCCGATGAGGGGGCTCATCAGCCTCTCTGGCCTAACTTCTCCCTGCAGTTGGGCTTGCTAAGCCATGCAGCTGGATATGACTGCAGTGTGGGCACTGAGTGTGCACTCTGATGTTCCTCCCTGTAAACCTCTCCCCTGAGGGGGAAAATCTGGCTGTCACACAGAGCTCCTGGGTTTGCCTGCACCCTGGTCTGACAGCACGTTGGGAGTCCTTACTGAGTACAGTCAACGTTGACTCACACCCACTGATGGGACCAGCCTGGGCAGCCCCTCCTCAGCAGACCTGGGTCCAAATCCTGGCTCAGTCACTTACCAGCTTTGTGGCCTTGTTAACAGACTTCACTTCTCTGAGACTCAGTTTCCTCACATGTAAAGGATCGAATGAGGTGGGACTGGGGGATTAAATAATATACTCCATGTGGAGTGCTTAGCACGAGACTTTGCACACACTCCGAGTAGTGTTAGCAACTACTATTATCAATTCATACCTTTGATATGTATGTATAGGGTATGTATAGGGTACCTGTTGCATGCCAAACATTGTGCTGGCACATAACAGCAATGAATAAGTCAGCCAAGGCTCTCATGGAGGGGGTGTGGTAGCCAGCTGCCAAGATGCCCCCAATGATCCTCACCTCCTGGTATTAGCACCCTTGTGTAGTCCCCTCCCACACTGAGCAGGGCTGGCTTGTGTAACCAATAGTGCAGAAATGACAGTCATAAAAGACACTGTGGATTCCACTTTGCTTTCTCTGGGATTGCTTGCTTTGAGAAAGTCAACTGCCATAGTGTGAGGTCACACAAGCAGCCCCATGGAGAGGTCCATGTGGTGAGGAGCTGAGGCCTCCTGCCAAGAGCCAGCACTCCCATGCCAGCCATGTGAGTGAGCCATCTTCAGAAGCAGATCCTCCAGCCCCAGTCAAGCCTTCAGATGACTGCAGCCCTGGCCGACATCTTGAATGTAACCTCGTGAGAGACCCCAAGCAGGAACCACTAGCTGCTCCAAAATCCCTGACCCAAAGAAACTGCTAGAAAATAACTGCTGGTTGTTGTTTTAAGATGCTATGTTTTGGGGTAATTTTTTTCCTGTGGGGATAGATAACTAATACACAGAGAGAGACAGTTTCGGATGGTGATGTGTGCTATGAGGAAGACAAAGCAATGTAATTGGATAGACTCAATTGTATGGGGTGCTACTTTACACCCAGTGGTCAAAGAAAGCCACACTGAGAAGGGACTATGTGAGGGGACACTTAAAGGATGAGAAGGCAAAAGTAACATAAGATCGGGGGCAGGGGGCAGAGAACAGGTAGAGAGAACAGCAAGTGCAAAGGCCCTGGGGTAGGGGCAGGCTTGGCATAATCATTGCACAAAGAAAGCCAGAGGCCTGGAGCAGAGGGAGCAAAGGGAACAGTGATGGGAGGGTGGGGGTGGGGGGCCAGCTTGTGAGGGTCTCCAAGGGCAGAGTGAGGCATCAGCCGTGGAGAGTCTTCAGTGAAGGAGATGACATAATCCAATTTACATTTTACACAAGTGACTCTTGACTATGGAGTAGGGAATGGCCTGTAGGATGCAGGCTTGTGGAAGCATGGCTTAGGAGGCTCCTGCAGGAGCCGTGAAGGCTTCATGTGAGGAGGTGTTTGTGGTAATGGTGGGACACAGCTGGACTGGAGATATTATTATTAATCTCATCTTAGACCATCATTGTGGAGTGAGGGGTGGGAAGGGGAACATATACAACCCTGATTCTGTGGGAAAGAGCCCCTTCCAGCGTGAACTGCACAGCAAGGTACTGGGGATTGGGCTTTGTGTCTTGATTAGTTCAGGGGCTCTACAAGGGGTGCCCCTCCATCTGGCACCTGATGGGCTCTCATACCCCGGGACCTCTCACCAACTGCTGCCCCCAGTCCACCCCGACGACGCTGCCCCAGCTTCCCTCGAGGGGATACGCACGGGGCTGCAATTAGTGGAAGTGCTGCCTAGAGAAATGCAATTATATTCTGATCTGGGGGGAGAAAAAGAATCAAGCAAGTCAATAGAACAGAACACTGGTCTCTAGATATTGGGCTCCTGATGGTAGATTAATGTCAAGGCAAAGCCAAGAAGTTTATTTTCAAAGCAGGAGATATTGATCAGGCGCCAGCATCCCATAACAATAACTCTTCCTTTATACAAAGTGATTGATGTGGAAGGGATGCTTTTGTTGCACAGAGATTGCCTAGGCTGCTGGTAGGCTGCCCCTTGCCTTTCGGTGGCGGAGTGGCGCTGAGCAGGTGGGGGGCACCTTGTCCTGCTCTATTTCTCAGCGTCTCCTGGGCGGCTGGCTAGGCTGGCGTCCAGCTCCCTCGACTCCACATTAAACTCGCATTACCTAACAACGCTTTGTCTCCAGCTCTGCCTGGCAGGGGAATCTTCCTTTCAGCAGATAGATGATCAATCCCCAAATCCTTCTCTTTCCTGTGACCTCTGGTTTCCTTGGCCCTGACCACACTGGCCATCAGCCTGAAGGTTCTCGAGGGACAAGGGGGACCCTGATCTGTCTCAGGCTCCTGGGCTGTCCGGAGCCCCGAGGGAGTCCTGGCTTCCCTGCCCAGGGCAGGATTTGCTGGTGCTGGCTCTCTGCATGGGAGTTACCTTCAGAGACAGACACCTGTTCAGCCAAGGCTGCTGCCAACTCCGGAGTCCTCTGGGAGCCCTGGGCAGCCTGAGAGAGCCCAGTGCTGTCACCCCCAACTCTTCAAAGCGTCCTCTGGCCACCAGAGTGCATCAGTGCAGTGAGTCAGCACACAGAGCTCCTTTGGCACTTCCACGGCTGGGCTATCTGAGAGCCAAGCCCTGCAGCACCCACCAGTGCATCCCTCCCCGTCATCTCACCTCCTCCCGTCATGCTGTGAATTGAATTGTGTCTCCCCAAAGTATGTGCTAGAATCCTAACCCCTGTACCTGTGGATGTAATCCTGTTTGGAAATGGGGGGTTCTTTGTCATGTGAATTAGATCACACCTGAGTCGGGTGGGTTCTAAATCTAATCACTTCTAAGTTATCAAAAAAGCAGATTAGATACAGATGCACAGATGGGGGTGGGGGTGGGGGGACCGATGCCATGTGAGGATCATCTACAAGCTAAGGAATGCCCTGAGCCGCCAACAAGGAAGGAATCAACAAGGCTGATAACCCTGATGTGGACTTTTAGCCTCCAGAACTGTAAGAAAATAAATTTCTGTTCTTTAAAGCCAGCCACTTGTGGTATTTCTGTTACGGGAGCACTAAGACACCCTCTTCCTCTGACAGCTGGGTCCTCACACAGGCTGTTCCCCCTGCTGGACGCTCTTCTCCCACCCTGCTGCCTGTACCTCCCACTGATCCTTCTGGTCCCACTCAACTGTTAACCTCCTCAGGGGGCTTTTCTGACCCCCACACTAGGCTGTACCACCTTTTGATGTGTGCACACAGCACTATACACTTTTCCTTCATTGTTTCATCAGAGTGTAATTCATTATCCACGTGGTTTTTCATCTCAGGTCTAGTCCTCTGCACCGGGCATCTGTGTACCTTCTCTCTTCTGGGGATTGTCCCCCCAACCCCTCCCACCTGGGGACCGTGACCCAAGCTGGCCAGCTGGAGCTCCAGCCTCCTGGCCTCTGAGGCTGGTGTGAGGCAGGGTTGTGCTGGTGCTTGGTATGTAAGAGGCCACGCTCTTCTCTGGGACAGAGAGCAACGAGGACAGCGGAGCTGCCAGTGGCCATCTCGGCCACAACACAGAGGGCTGGCCCGAGGGTGCAGCCAGCAGAGAGGAGGGCAGGGCCAGGAGGCGGAGAGGAGAGAGCACCTGGATTCAGTCGTGCTGCAGACAGCCCATCCTTGGGCTTCCCTCTGTCCCCCACTTCTTAGCTACGGCCAGTTTAAGATGGCTTTCTGTCACTTTCAAATGTAAGCATCCTTACCAAGCCCTCCTGCACCCTACTAAACTTTTACTCTGTGTGGCAGGGTCACATCTGTTGTATTTGCCATTAGCCACCCCCGCCACCCCATGCCTAGCGCAGTGCTTTGCCCATCACAGGCACTCCATATGCATTTGCAAACGCATGAAAGAATAAATAAACCAAGACTGATGCAGAGTCTCAGGAATAGGGACTTCATTAGAAAAAGGATGGGTCTCATTGTTTCATCATCAATTCTTTAGTCTCCAGAGGGAACCACTATCTCTGTTTTTTTTGCCTCGAGTAATTTTAGCAAGAATGTAAGTCACGGAGAGGGGCAGGGGGTTTTACTCTTTCTTGGGCAAAAGGTGCCATCGCCATCTCTTTTAGGCTGAGCTTTATGGGCTGGATCCTGGCTGGATTTGTCTGGGGGAAATGGATTGACATGTAAGCCCAGGAGACAGTGTCACCTCCCTCCAGTGACAAACAGTACTCAGATTTGCT